TTGAAGAGAGGAAGGATTGAGGACTTACCCTTATCTTACACTCTTAGAGCGCAGCCAGTAACCGCAACAATTAAATTTGTGGAATGCTATACGTTGCCTCCGTCTATCAGCGAACAATAACTTAATCTCATTGCGGAAAATTGCTGTTCACCCACGGACGCCATCGAATCTGAACGACTTGGAAGGTTTCTGAACAGAATAATACTTGAATATATCAGTTGAGTGATTCATAAAGCCTAATCAAAGACTACAGAAAATGCCCATTAGCAGCGATCAGTACCAAAGGAGCTTGATCTATGCTTTTTTCGATGGGGTCGAAAACTTAGACAAAAGTCAATATAATAACATATTCATGTGGAAATAAAATAACACAATATTAATTCTCTCTTATTTATGTATTAAGCTGTTCAGCTAATGATAATTAAATAGACAAAAGTCATCAAGACAAATTCGGAATGATTAATTAGAAAAATAAGAAAAAATAATCTATAGGTCGATTAATTTTACGAATAACTCTTTCTATGAGAAGACATTCATTACGTTCCACCTACTTTGGTACGAGGCACCAAATATAATGTACACTGTACATTATATGGTTAATGTGTTAACCCTTGCTATACCGCAGACATTCCACACAGATATGTGTCGATAAACAATTCTATTTCATTGATTAATTCCATAAAACCATCTGTCGAGATTTATACGACTTTGCTGTACGTTCTTCCGTTGGAGCCTTTCCTTCGCATGTTAAAGACAAATCCTGTCCTACGTGGAATTTCCCTACCTAGTGTTACCACCTCGGCCAGGTACTCCGTCTGTATTGACAGCGTTTCGGTCCTTGTGTTAGTGTGTTAGTTAGGGAGTCTTTTCAGGATGATTTGATAGACGTGTCCAGTCTTATGAAGCAAGAGACCCGCTCCATATGGCCTTAGGCGCCCGGATTGAAATGCCTCAATAATGATGAGGTATCACTCACCTGACTGGTGATACAAAGGGTCCTCTGGATCGGCAAAAGACTGTTCGGTGGGTTTGGAAAATTCTCTAAGCTGTGTTTGCTGTGATGGGGATCACACTTTCTATCATTGCAGGGTCGTAGTCCCGTTGGGCTAGTTTATTGAAGATATCATGGTTCGCATGCTGTCTGTAGTAATGTGGCACCATCGGTGACGAAGGCTGAATACTATGTATTTTTGTGCTTGCTAGGCGTTATAAGAATTCTATGGGGGCGGGAAGTTTACCTCTTCCCAACTGATCTTGCTTTTTAAGTGTCAGCTTAAAGTCAAGAAATGCGGCGACTTCCACCCAGCAGAGTTTGGCAAAAGGTGGGTGAGCCGAGTAAGAAAAGTCGATTTAGAGTGGTACTTTGATGCCGGTTTGTTTTAAATGGATTGAACATTGGCAACCTTGTCTAGAATTAGTTTAGGGTTGTTTTTATCTTTAATTTCTTCTTTCAAAGTTTACTTAGCTAGGGGATATAAGCTCATTGGCCTCTTTCATTTGCCCCACATTTTTAGTTTAATTCCCCCCTCCCCTTTCAGGTGACCTGAGATCTCAGTTCTCTGGTGGATGCGAGACGCCTTTTCATATTTAGGGTGTAATTTTCGTATTTGTTGTTATGTTTCAATGAGTGTGTGCTTGAGTGAGTGCTAGGACAAATAAGTGTTTGATATTATTAAATTTCCGCATTAATTTCGTCTAGTTAACTGATTTTTCTGTCACAATTAAGCATTGTCTTTTTTTATTACTAAAACTATTTTATTTAGTTTCTTGTAAATAGCTTATTTGGTATTGTAAATACACATTTAAATTGTTTTATTCCCATACCTGAACATACAAGAAGTGAACATATGGCGACTAGTTAGGACTTCATAAAGATTCTGAGGTTGGATGAAATAAGAATGGTAAGTAAGAATGCGTTGTTTCGCTGTTAGGAATATTGTTTGGGTCAGTGATCGTGGTTATCTTAATTACAAGACAAAAGAAGGCCATCCTTTTTCACATTCCCCCATTTGGCCTTATGCCACATTTTTGTATATTTTACAAAAATAAATTGCTCTCCGTTATGGTACCTAGACTTGATGAATTTAAGCGATTCGCGATGACTTCTCATCAATTTACAGTTGAGTTGGCTAGATGGAACCGTAAGTTTTATGCTAACTGTTTCTTTTCTTGTCTTCTGCGCTTGTGGAACTCCCCTCTTTCCAGTCAACTGTAATCTTCAACAGTTTAAATGCAATGTCCATTGCTATCTACTGTCCTCCTGATTACTCTTTTTTTGTTATCGCTTCTTAATAATGTTTCTTTTTTCTAATTCGTCCACACCCAGCCCAGTGCACTAATCATTACACTATACGGAAGCAATTTTGATCTCACCTCAGATGAACTGATTGCAAGGAATGTCACTAAATATCATGACAAGCAAAGGTTTTTCGTCCGTATTTTTTTAACATTTTAGCAAGTTTTCATTTTCAGGGAGATATAAGTTTTTATTGATTATAAAATTGTTTATTGTTATTCACTTGAAACAAATTCACGTTTGTATAAGTTTTTAGTCAAATATGTAAATTAGAATAAATACATATTATACGAAGAACATTTTTATTATTGTTGTTGTTAACACTCATTGAATGATAAAAAAAAGGAGGGTGAAATAATCGATACAAAAACTATTAGTAAAAATAAACAAAGAGAAATAATCGTTACAACAACAAAACGCTTTCCATGTAAAATATTGCAATTACAAATTTAAAAAGTCACAAGGTTTGTATGTATTATTGTCATGGATTTTAACCTCTCCAGTACGACTGCCCTGTTAGTCATCGCACAAATTGTACAATGACGTCATGAGAAATTTATTTCAGCTCTGACGCACTTGAGATACGCGAAACAACGTTTTCCAATATAAGCCATTTGGAAAAGTTCATAGTGATAATGTCGCGGTTGATATAGTAGGCTTGAAATAGCACAGTATGCTTGTTTCAAGTACTTTTAGAGAATTCATTTAGATCATTCAGTTCTTCGTTGGTACTCAGAATACCTTTCCGACATTTCCTAAGCTGCGAGTTTTTTAAAGTCATACATTACTAAAGTCGTTGCAAGTATTGTAAAACTGACAATCATATCACGTTCAGTTATTTTGTTTGGCGTATAACGGTCACTCTTTTTCCTTATGTAAATTATTAGTAACTCCTTCTTCGCATTATGTCTTTTCGGTTGGTGAATTATATTTTTTAGCAAGATTATCCTCTTGGATAGCGCTGAAACCATTATCCGAAAGATTTTGAAACTCTGAAAGCATGTTTTAAGTAATGAAATACTTAAACAAGACTAGCATGGCACAAGGCTATTTTCTGGTGGGAATCGAACAGATAATTTTTCTTTTTTTTAAGAACTGTAGACAAAGCTGTTTGCAATATATCCGAGGACCAATGCACCATTTGATATTGATAATTCGAGTCGGGAGCAAAGCAAACAACAGCATCGCCTCAAAGTTTTTCCTGTTGAGATTTACAAAGTTTAATCTAATCTTTCTCATCGCCATGAGGAAAAATGTGAATTAGATACATTGTGTTTCACCATTCGCTTAAGGGCGTGAATCCTGTTTGTATGAGAAATTAGTCTTCTGAATTTGAGCTGGGATTGAACATCGACCTCTGGTACCAACGAGAAATGTTTAACTATGTCAGTTAGCAACAAATCACAAATTTTGGTATATATGTGTGATATATATATATATATATATATATATATATATATATATATATATATATATATATATATATATATATATATATATATATATGTGTGTGTGTGTGTGTGTGTGTGTGTGTGTGTGTAAATCATAGCTTTAGCCACTAGAAATAGCGATACTAGATTGGTAATCATCACTTTATGGCAGACGCTTCTTTAAACTTTACTATGGGGGGCTTAAAAACTATCGGACCTAGCAAAGCCGATCAAAGTCTTTTTGAAAGTCTTCTTGGTCACGACTAGAATTCTTCACCCTTTTTGTTCATGTACATATTCTTGTATGATATATGAGCGATTAGATTACAGCTTGTCTCCAGTGGTTTTTGCAGCGACCTAAATATATCGAAAAATTCCTTTCCTTCTTTCGCTTTCAAATTAGTTTCTACAGTAAAAGAATAAATAAAAGATAAAGCCGCAAGCGTCTCATTCGCAAGTCCGTGTTTCTAAAAGATTTCATTTTGCCACTCAACACTATTTTTTCTACTGAACAACAATCAATTTGTCTCGTCAGCCAACTCAACTCGAAACTCAGATGGACGTCTTTTATAAAATTGTATCTTTTTTCTTTGTTGACATGTCGTCAAATAATTTTAATTATTTTTATTTTTGGTCTTCATTTCTTTTTCCTGAATAATAATGATTTTCTTTCTTTCTTTCTTTCTTTTCTTTCTTTCTTTCTTTCTTTCTTTCTTTCTTTCTAATGATGTGAGTATCTTCAATACAGTATACATGCCGTACTATATTTGCGAGCTTACAATTACACGCACACACCTTTAACATCGTCTATACTTATGAATGCAGATTCATGAAAATTTTGTTTGCACTTCACCTATAATATAATTCCCAACAATAATATATATATATATATATATATATATATATATATATATATATATATATATATATATATATATATATATATATTTGTGTGTGTGTGTATACGTGTGTGTGTATACGTGTGTGTGTGTGTGTGTGTACAAAAGGTTAGAAAGTGATAATTAAGGCGATGCACAAACTTGTTTTTAGTTCATGTCTAGTTGCTGCTAGCAAAGATAGTTTTTGGCTCATGCACCGTCTGATCAGTTCGATTAGAAATCAATCATTTTGCAGTGTGCTAAGTATTGAGTTTGAAGAAAATGGTGAGATGGAAGGTGAGATGTTAACCCCAGGTTCATGGCATAAGGCTGATACCTGAATATACACAAACTATTTGTGGTGAGGAACCAGCACACCAGGTTTCGGGTCAACAGTTACAGGTGTAAAATGAGAAAGAGGAACAATAAATGAATGATACACACAAAGAGGTGTGGGAAAATGAGGAAGACAGGTATGGAAATGAGTGAAAGGAAATCAGACAAGAGAAACGGACGGACGAGGATATTTAAAAGAGATAGATAGATAGATAGATAGATAGATAGATAGATAGATAGATAGATAGATAGATAGATAGATGAACAGTCAAGGTGAAAAAAAAAAGAAAATGTGTAATGTATTAATTCTGAAGTCAGGACAAGTCCAAATATTCTCTACCTGAACAAGATCGAGTACAAAATATACTTATCATTAGGGTCCTTATAATTCATGTCAGTTTATTTCTGCTTGAACAAAAGAAATCTCGCTGGGGGAGGGGGTTATAATATACAATCTCACAAAAATACGATTTCTTACCTCAGAATTAAATCAAACAAGAAGTCTAGTCAGTTAAGCGTACCAGATTCCATTAAGTGTGGCTACCAGAGAAGGAAGGAATTATACTATAAATAATAATTCAGATATTATTCTCTCTCTCTCTGTCTCTCTGTCCATCCCTCTCTCTCTCTCTCTCTCTATATATATATATATATATATATATATATATAATATCGGAATTATTATGCCTGTGTGTCTGTGTATGCTCATAACTTAAAAAATATTATAAATATATTTATCGATCGCATTGCTTTGGCTGGATGAAAAGAAAGAGAATTTTTTTTTTTAAATTACCCGGACTAAAAGTTCGCTTAGCTTATATTTAGGACGGACGTATTTTACATACAATTTTTTGAATAAATCAGTTTGAATGAACAGTTGGAATGAAAAAAAAAAACAAAGACAAAGCAAAAAAAAAATTATATGGATCAGAATGTCGATGTGATTTTGCTGTTGACAAATCCCGTTTTCATGTTGCAAATACGACGCATTAAACAAGCATAGAACTGGGATGCGAAATTCTTTCATTATTTGTGAATGTTTCTCTCCTGTCGGAAACATTTTAAGTCTTTTTTCCTCTTGAATTCTCAGGATAGTTTCATTTTTTTTTAAAATCATTTTTGGCATTTGAATTGTTCGTGAATTCCTTCTGACTATCAATATGTTTACCCTGTGTCTTGTAAGCAGTGAAAGTAAGCTGAAGATAGCAAACAATTTTTCAAACTTGAATGTCGAAATGTAAAATTTAGTTGAGGTAGAGTATGATAATAGAAAGTAAAAGAGAGAGAAAGAGAGAGCGAGTGGGAGAGAGACAGAGATAGACAGATAGACAGTATATCTATGGTGGAGAGAAATGAAAGGTAAATTTGGTTTTTCACTGAATAAAAAGAGAAAGAACTAAATAGAATTAGCAACAAACAAGGAGAATTTATTCGGCGAAAGCAAATAATGTCTCAAAGAGAGTAGCATGTATTTGGTTGTCTTTTGTATGAACAAATGTTCGTACGAGTTACTTTTATTTCAAATAATGGCCTGTATGAATTGCTAAGTTGGATTTACTTGATGTCTGTTTAAGCTTATCAAAATGTTGCGTATCATGCACGCTGCTAAAATTTTAGAAGTCCGTCTCCCGCAGAGTCCGAGTGGAAAACGAAATAAAAAAAATTCCTGCAGTTCTCTAGAGCTTGAACTTCGCACTCCTTGCCTTCATTGGTCGGACCGCAACTGATGAGTATCCGCTTCGAAACACGCATGCTTAGAGAAAGGCCGCCCAGAGCTTCAACATCAAAGACAGATTCGGCAGTACCAACATGTGTAGCGCCTTTCTTCTTCGAATACACTACAAGATAGATGTGAAAATTGATAGATTGAGTGATATATACGTTGGGCGAAATTGCAAATATAAAGAGTAGCAAATTTGGATTAAGTGAGAAATTGAGGAGGAAAGTAAAACAAAGATAGAGAGAAGTGAAAAAAAAATCAGTTAAGGGAAAAAGAAAACAAAAAGAAAATGAGGAAAGACAAGCGGGAGGTAAAAAGAGATAAGAGAAAAAGAGAGAAGAAAAATTAATGAAACAAAGTGAGAGAAAACAAAAGAAGGAAAAAGAAATCTTGAAAATAAAAAGAAAAGAGAGAAGAAAATAAAATAAAAATAAATAAGGAAAAGGGGAGCTTGAAACATGCAGAAAACACAGATGGAAAATGAAAGACGAGGACAAGAGAGAGAAAGAAGGAAAATTAGAAGAAAAAAAAAGTAAAAAATGAAGCAGAGATAAAGAAAAGAGAGAAGAGAAAAAAGAAGCTGACAGGAAAAAAAAACGGGAAAGAAAGGAAAAGGTATAATGGAATGAAAGCTAAAAATATATCAAAGAAATAATGAAGACAGAACAAGTTTAAAAAGGAAAAAAAAAAAACCCTGAAGAGGCTAGAACAAAAATGGATAGGAAAAAGAGAATGTAAAAGGTAAATGAAAAAGAAAGAATGAGAAAGAGAAAAATGATACAAGTAGAAAGAGATAATGAAAGAAGGAAAAGAGGCAAATAGACAGTGAAGAAAAAAGAAAGAAAAAGAAAGAGAGTAAAAGAATGACGAAAAAAAGATGGAAAATGTATGGAAAACTAAAACTTTGAAGAATTATTGTTAAACATTATCAATAAGCTAAATATATGCTTTACCATGTATTTACTGGATAAAAATCTTTTTCTACTTTTTGTTTTTCTGTTAAATGCGGATTTTGAAATAAAAATCGTTTTTTATGTCTAAAATTCTTATTAGTCTTTAGCAAAATGTTTTTCTTAGATCTCAACATTTTGATGATTCATATTTTTTCTTTTTTATGGATCATCGCTTTTCATTCTGTTTTATGCTTTGAAAAGCATATTTCCTGCTAGTTAATTGCTGGCATATAACACGCGTTTGAACTAAAGCTGGTTCTCTGAATAAGATTGACTCTCACAGGAGGATGAAAACGGTTTTAAGGAAAAATAAACAATATTGAGGGCATCAAACAATTAGTGATATTGAAATCAAGTACAATTCTTACGCTTATCAGAGGAAATAATTTATTACACCAGAGGAAAAATCTATGGAAATCATCAATATAATAATAATAATAATAATAATAATAATAATAATAATAATAATAATAAAGAAAATCGTTGATATTAGCTGCTCAGATCAACCCCACCAGAACTAATTATATAAAGGCTAGGATTGATGCGACAAAGAAGACTAGCAAGGATTTGAGAAAAACCTACATAATCAGAACAATAAAGAAACATCAGTGAATTTGGACATCACAAAAGAGATTGAGAGAAACACGCATTTTGCACAAGAATCTTTGAATGTGTTACTCAAGTTGAAATTGTAAAACAGCTTCACAAATAACCAATACAGAATTTAAGAACAATTCAAATGTCAAAGATGATAGAAAATTAAACTCCTGTGAGAATCCAAGAGGAAAAAAGGACTTAAAATGTTTGCGACAGGAGAGAAACATTCACTGATAATGGCAAGTCCAAACAAGTGAATTAGAATCAATTATGTCAAATCGAAAAACGGTAAAAGAGAATAAATACCAACTTGATAGAGAGAGAGAGAGAGAGACAGGCAGGCAGACAGTGAGAGATACAGAAACAAACAAACAACCAAATAGCGAGAGATGCAGCAAAAGAAAGAAAGACAAATAGATAAGATATGAAACCGTGAGCGAATGCAATGAATTGGCTAATTAGTGAATCAGCCTATATCAGATTTTATTATGCATGTCAATGTTTTCACAGTAAAATTGTTAACCAATCGATGTTGGCAAAGTTTTCAGATAATTTTCATGGTAAATATACTGATTTGAATATAGACTCATAATATTAATATTTATTAAAAACATCAGTTGTTTTGTGTGTGTCAAACTTTATGATGCAAAGTTCTGCATGAATTTCATTTCTAAATGCATCCAAAAGAGAAAGGTGATAGAAATACATAATTAACACAACATTCCATATACTTGAAAAACTGATTATAATTGTACATATTTTTATGTTTTACTTAGCATTCTATAACATTCATCAAACCTTCACAATAGATTTTGTACATTTTTCTACTGTTTTGTCTCTCTCGATGCAAAATCTTTCATTGCATTCCAGAAACATTCGCTGAACATTGTTTTCTATACTTATATATATTTCCCTTTTAATCATGGAACAAAGGTTTTCTATTGCATTAATATATTGAAATTCTCAGTGCCATCCCATCAAGTTGACGTCTTTGGAAAATTTGTTTTGCTTTGCAGAAGGTGAATGATTATTATCTTGGATGGGTATACCATTTAGATTAAATTTTCTTGCTTGTAACTTGTACCACATTTAAAAAGTCTTGTTCAAGTACTTATGTTGCATTTTGTGCCGTCTCTGGGTCTCTACGCTACGCCATAAAATTCTATTAACAAAAAGGACATTTCCTTTTGCTTATATGTTTTTCTTAGGAGAGAGGGACAGAAGTGGCAGCTTGGATTCTAAGAGGCAGTGAGAGAAATGATGTCACGTTGTATCAGCATCTCTCCGTGTAAGTTCTTAGTCGGCCCCTCGAACCTTGGTGTGGAAAGAGTATAGACGCTTCAAAATTTTAACGGTCCTCTGTTGAATTTGCACCATTTTGGACTTATATCCAAAATTCAGGAAAAGGCAATCCATCGTTGTCAGAATACAACGCCAACGAGGCACTCCGCTCAATCGCTATTTTGGCTCTGACCTACACATTCTGTAACATTACCCCTTTCTTTTTCAAAATACATAGTAAAATATATTTCAAATCATTGTCAAGTGTAACTTCTAGCTTATTCGCTCCTCTCTCGTTATGCTTCCAGAACCAAGACTGAATGAAATAAATATGATAAAACATGCATAAGAAAACATGCATTCAGTCATATGGTACATCAGCAAATAAACTGCACAACTATGAAAATATGGCAATTATCATTCCGTCAAAAGGTGTAAACACCACGTCCGGAGGAGGAGGAAGGGGAGGATGAGGAGAATGTTGTATACCAAATGAGAGAAAAAATGAAGAATGGTAAAGATAGGATTCCATAAAGGGATTTCACAAAGAATGGCGCATTGTAAGTGCAGTAGTTGCAAGTTGCACCGTTGGGAGATCGTTTATTAGCAGCAGGACGACCAACAAGCGTGTCATTAGCCAGTTTTCCACTTACATCTAAACTTCGCCGTAAATGTCTCCAGTGGTGAATGTCCCTCTGGAGGATTGAATAGTGCTCTGTTTTCTGACTTATGAATCAGGTTCGTTTATCTGTGTGACATCATTTTGGGAAACAACATCTACCACATTATATTCAAACACGACAAATAGATCCATATGTTTGGACCTGTTTTGTTATTTGTTAACCAAATACCGACACTATATGTTTAAAATATTATCCAACTTCAACTGTCATTCCCATATGACGCCTTTGCTACTCAAAATAACTTATAAGATGTTCAATAAATTTCCTGATCTCTATCCCACTGAATATATTTACGGTATGATGGGACGTTGCCTGACTCATCCAATAAGCTCACCTATAGCACTTATTTTATTGTATCAGTAAGTGCGTCATGGAATTAAAAAGATGTTATTCATCATTTGTACAATCTTATGCATGCGTGTGTATCTGTGTTAATGTTAAAAGGTCATATGCATTGAAGTAATATAGGATCAGAGTTCTGTTCACACACCATTCATTTTGGAACCTGTACATGTATTCATCTGTATATGAGACTAGTAATCCAGCTATATTTCCTCTACGTTTATTCTTGAGTGAACTGAAATACATTTTCCATCTGTTGATATAGAACACATGTACACATCAAGTGCTCCAAATTAGTTGCAGTCTTCAGCTGAGCGCCGTGCTTCAACAAAGTTTCCGCCCATTAACTTCAATACTCTCTACACGGTTCACCCGCAACAGCTGAATGATGTTACGTTGTAAACGGTCTATGTTGTTAGTTGGACGCGACTCGATACGAATTTCTGGGTAATCCATGCACTGCCTTCCACCGCTTTCCCGTTACTTCTTTATTACCTTATTCGGCTTTCGGATACCAGCACACTTGAAGAATTTCTTTAAAGAAGTAGCAAGAAATCCTCTACAGCCAAGCTCAAACAGCACCAGGATGCAGACCTATCCTCTCTCTCGGTCTTCAGCCATCAGTTCCTCATACCGAACCAGCTTTCTTTCATGAGCCTCTTCAATCCCATCCTCCCATGCCGCTGTCAGCTTCCCAAGCTACAGATATTTCTTCTCGCTATCAATCAACACCAGATCTGGCCTCAGTCCAGACAAAATAACCTCTTTTGGCAGTGTCGCATCAACCAACACTGTGTACTTCCTTGAATCTTCCGACCTGGTCTTCTGCCTTGTGTCAGTCACACCTGGCTTCAGGAAGGAAATCCTTCGCAGGTCCGACGAGGGTATACTTGCACTTCTCAAAGCTTCTGCCACAACCTCCAGGAACAAGTTATGTCTAAAGGTGTACCAGCAATTCTGTAGCGCTTTCGGGCAGGATGGCAGCATATAGCACAGGTTTACATATGCACCACACAACCGGGAAGAGGGTGACTTCAGCATTCCATCACCATCCCAAACAGTACTGGAGCGATGGCACATGCTATAGCAATTCCCCTCTGCAGCTCCACATACTTTGTGGTGTACTCATCGTTGACAAACGCAGCATGAACTGATTGAAATACATAACAGGCAATCCCTGAGTCTCTGAGGAATCTCAGTACCTTGTCGGTAATCTCTAATGAAACATCTATATAAGAGCGATTGCTGCCTAAATACACTATATATATATATATATATATATATATATATATATATATATATAATAAAAAGGCTTAAACACTAATATTCCATGGTCATAATTTATTCCATTGGAATCGTAAATACGATCCAAATCATCAGACCTACAAATTCAAAATGAAAACAGAAAAACAACTCCGGAAATCAAAACAGAATTTAGAGAAAGTGTAAGTATGAGGAGGAGGGAGATGAAACCTTAACAGAGAGAATTTTAGGAGATGTGGGGGGGGAATTAAAAAGAGGAGAGAAAGAAAGTCGACGGATGTCTAATGCATAAAGATACATTTCGTGATGACATACACACACCATAGACAATTAGAAGTTAGGATAGGAGGTAGGGGGGAAAAAGAAAGAGAAGAGGTGGAGGAGAGAGATGGGACGAAGGAAAATAAAATTGTGTTTACTTAAAGGGCTGCTTTGTAATTGAGAAAATTTGACAAATTAATATCGACTACAGGTTAGAAATCAAATATAAATATATGAAGATGAATATAACGATTGTCTAATCTATCTATCTATCTATCTATCTATATATATATATATGTCTGAGATGAGATATGATTGCTTACATTATTTACGTTATTCGGATTGTTATCCTCATCATATTCACAACGTTTCGGCCGCTGTACGCTCTGGCTTTCTCCAGGTGATTGGAATTTCAAACTGAATCGCTTATTTCGTGGCCAGGTGGATAAAGGCGTTGGTTAGGTCCAGTGACTAGACCCAAAGAGTTGTGAGTTCAATACTTGGATTAGACGTAGTGAGTTTGTTCACAAAAGTTCCCACGGAGGAGGCACTCTCAGTAGCCAAGGACAGACTGGCCTTGGACTGAGAACTTGGACGGAAAACAGGCCAGTATACCAATAGATAGATAACCTGGTGGAGATACTGACTTTTTGTACGCAAACAACCCACTTCGGAATGGGATCATACATATATCGACAGAATGAGGGCTTAGCAATGGTCTCGCCAATATCACCAGCAATGGCAAACCTGTACATGGAATACCTTGATGAAATGGCATTAGAATCTACATTACCAAAGCCAGCCCTATAGCTAAGATACATAGATGATACCTACATAATGTGGCCATACCAAGAAGAGCTCCTACTGGACGATGTAAACTCAATAAGATCATCGATTCAGTTCAGTGGAGAGAGAAAACAACAACAAACTCACCTTCCTGGATGTACTAATATCATAAAGACATCCGTATACCACAAGCCTACATTCACCGGACAATATCTCAATTTCAGCTCTCTTCACCCATATAGTGTAAAAAGGGGAATCTTACAACATCGAGCAAAAGTCATAAGTGGCGACCCAGAGACATATGAACAAGAAATGGTCTTTATAAGCAGTACCCTACAATTTAACAACTACCCCGGGTACATGGCAACAGCACCGACAAACTAGAACAGTAGGGTACAAGAGAATAACAACACCCAGAAAAAGCTTCAGTCTGCCTACTCTATGTAAAGGCATTATCGGAGAAAGTACCAAAAATCTGTGGTTCATATAACATCAGGACAACCTTCAAAAGTCGCCCAACACTTCGAAGACACCTCTTCCGAGTAAGACCCCCCATAGAAGAGAACAGTGCGTACTCCATCCTGTGCAGCAGTGGTAAGAAATATAAAGGAGAAACAGGATGCTTCCTTAAGGTATGACTGCAAGAACATCATAAGGCGGTAACACGAAGGGAAATAGGTAAATCATGAAAAGCTGACCATATATGGAGGGAAAATGGCGATCACCGTCCACTGTGGGAAAAGGTTGAATTAATAGACAGTGAAAATCATTGTAAAATATGGAATCAGCACATATGCTTGGTTACAAAAATCTCCTGAGCCGGCCAAGCATAAAAATGAATACAATATAGAAACCAGTAATAAGGAGTGCAAGAGAAAAGCAATGAATAACAACAAAAAATTGCAATATAAGCTCTGGTAAAAACTGCAATAATAACAGAAAAATGCAATATGAGCACTGGTAAAAAATAATTCCTGAGACATTAGGTTTATAAGTCCCCAAAATTCATACACGGAAGTACTCAAGGACACATTGCCCAGTGGATAAAGGCATAGGTTCGATCCACTGGCTACAGCAGTGGTGTAGCAAAAACTTGGAGTGTTAAGTTAAAGGAAATAACTTAGTGGACGAAATAAATCACTTGTAGAAAGCCGGAGTGTGAATATGGCGATGACGATAACAGTACAAAACACACACACACACTCTCTCTCTCTCTCTCTCTCTCTCTCTCTATATATATATATATATATATATATATATATATATATATATATATATTATGTATTCACACTTCGGCTTTCTGCAAGTGATTTATTTTGTCCACTCATTTATTTTAATGTTTTGCTAGCAGAGGTTCCAAAACGAGGTTGTGTTTGTGCGTGATTTTAAAAATAAACTTCTTTCATCGCAGGAGGTAATTTCAGAAGACTATTAGTTTCTCTGTTTGTGGCTATCTGTGCCTGACAATGAAAGAATAACAGTTGTTTAAGAAAGATCAGTTCACATTATATAGTTTCTGAAAAATCATCAACTTCTCTTGATGTTATAAACTATCACACTCTTTATATCTATGTACGTATCTACGTCTTGCCAAAACAAAAATATATATATATATATATATATATATATATATATATATATATATATATATATATATATATATAGTTAAACCTAGAGCCAGACAAACCTACCAAGGTTTCACCTAAGCAGATCGTCAGGGAATAATATATATATATATATATATATATATATATATATATATATAATATAATATAATATGATATATATATAAAGAAAGAACAGTAAGATATATAATCCTGTGTTCTTATAGATAATTTTATTTTTACAAAATAGTGCTCAATGTAAATTTACAGAGCATTAATATTATAAATTAATTGGTTTAAAATATGTTTTTTTTCGCTACACAGTCCTAAACATGTTTCAAAAATGGAAGCTTTTAGGTAGGTTTTATATATATATATATATATATATATATGAATGTTTGTTTTGGCAAGACGTAGATACGCACATAGATATGAAAGAAGTTTATTTTTAAAATCACGCACAAACGCAACCTAGTTTTGGAACCTCTGCTAGCAAAACATTTGCACACTTTCATCAATGTATACACAGATATGTTGATGTCATAGTTAGGGGAGAGACGCCTATATTAAGATGAATGACAGTAGAACACGTTAAAGTAGGAGAAGAATTCAAGACTTTCTATAATGATTACCTACCAGTTACATCTGAACCGGGATTTGAACTCAAAGAGTCATTTCAATTTTCTGAATAATAACTATTTACAATTTTATTTTTTAAACCTCAGTTGATTCTTAAGACACACTTGCACAGAGGCGCACACATCTCATGTGCAAACCTTTGCACAAAAGCACTAACATATGAATAATGACGCAATTGTTCGCTTGCTCTTATTTCCTCCAACACACATGCGCACAAACACGCACACATACACACACACACATCCAACGTTGATTTTAGTCATTACAATTATCAGAACATTTTTGAAAAGATGATTTTTTTTGTTGTTATGCGATCTTACGTTAAAGTGTACGCATGCGTGTGCGTTTTTGACGTTTTAATCAGCCCGACGAAGATCTATTTGACAGCGAGACAGAAATAAATTAATGGAAAAAAATATTCGTCTCCTTTTGTCTGGCAAGTTGAAATCAGTTGATTAAATCTGAAAATAACAGACGTCAGGCAAAGCTTTTACCTCCGGGCATGACCCAAGCATAAAGGTCAGTATTAAGGAGAGACGCCTCGTCGCGCAACCAAAGAACTGTTTATAAAAGCCGTTCATTTTAACGATAGATATATAGATATATAAATTAATACTAATACGCTGTTATTAATAGATATTTACACCATTGGTTATTGCAGATTTTACAAATATAGAATTATAACAATTGTTGTAGTTACAGATATAATCTTCTTTTAATATGGGGGGATTGTCGTCTTTGAATATTTGCGTTCACAATTTTGGTTTTGGCAAAAAAATCAATACTAATCTCGAAAGTAACGATGCTTACTGTTTAGATTTGCTTCTTGTAGTTACATAGACACCCCATAAGTACACAAGTATACTAAGTACTAAAGAGGACGAAAGACTATGCTGCGCCAAATTTTCAAGTGAGAAAAACCCATGCACAGGAATTGAAGTTATGGCTTTTTAACTGCGAACGATTTGTTTGAAACTTTAAGATTCGAATCTCCTACTATTTGGGTTAAAATACTCTCTCGATTGGTAGTGCCATTGTTAAACTGGGCACTACATAGCAAGTTTAGAGACAGCATGAAGTTAGACACCCAGTGTACATGTAACGTTTCTTGTTAATACAGAAATTTGATTCTCTTCTAAGTAAGACTATGCCTGAAGATTTAACTGGGCGGAGTTGTACTCATAATTTATTCCATACAGTTTTACTCAGTAAAAATCTTTGTGATAGAATAAAATATATAAAAATGGTTGAGAAATCAAAAATATCTGAAGTGAACTTTTGTATTGAAAACTGAAAATTACATTCCAATATTTTTAATATATAGACTTTATTTGATTTTACAATCTCATACTAAAAAGGTTTAATTCGGAGTCTGTGTGTATTTGTTTTCCAAATCATCTTATGCATTGTATTATATTATATTATATTATATCACACAGGTAATGATTTGGGGAATATCTGACTTGTTGCACGATTGGAATCCACACCATCTTGTTTGTCAGATAGATAAATAAAGGGGCCAATGAAAGAATAAATTAAATTAAGAAAATTGAAATTCTGAAATATCTGAAGAACAGATTCAAAGAAAGAATTTAATATAAAAATAAGCAAGAAAGGAAGAAATGTAGAAAGAAATACTAAAAGAAAGAAATAAAAAAGGAAGAAAAAAGAGGAATTGTGAAGAAACGGAATAAAGGACAAAAATAAAGAATTAATGAACAATAAAGAATGTAGAACGAAAGGAAATAAATGGAGAAAGAAAGGAGAGAATGAAGAGAGAGAGAGAGAGAGAGAGAGAGAGAGAGATAAAGAAATAGGACGAAATAATAAAAGGAATGGTGGAATATTCGATGAACGGGTAAAAAAGAGCGTTAATCAAGCAAGCAAGAGAGAGAGAGAGAAAGAGAGAGCGATAGAGAGAGAGAGAGAGAGAGAGAGAGAGAAAGAGAATGATAGAGAGAGGGTAAATAATGAAAAAGCAACGAGTGAAAGTGTAAAAGAATGAAAAAAAGATATGCGGAAAGGTTGCAACAAAAGGAACAAGTTTACAAAAGAGGAAAAGGGTAAAATGTAAAAACAAAAAGAGAAGAAATGAGTTGAAGAAGCAAAATAGTGCTAAAAGGAAAAGAGTTAAAGAAAGAAAGAAAGTAAAAGAATGAAAGAAAGAAAAATAGAAATGCTGTAAGAGTAAACGAACTGATAAATGGAGAGAGAGTTAATGAAAAAGAAAGAAAGAAAGAACGAAAGAAAGAAAGACAGCCAGACAGAAAGAAAGAAAATACAAGTGGTGAAAGAGTTCATCAAGCGGATAAATGAAAAAAGTTAATGAAAGACGGGAGTGATAGAGAAAAATAAAGAAAAATTGTGAATGATCAGAACAAAAAGGTAAGAGAAAAAATAATGAACGAAAGAAAAAAACTATAAAAAGAAATGAAACTGAAGGTTAGACAATAAATTTGGTAAATGATCGGACAAAGGACTAAATGAAAATTATGGCGGAGAAAGAGAAAAAGAAGATAAAAAAGGAATGATTAAACAGAAGGAGTGAGGAAGAAAAAACGGTGAAAATTTAGAAAAGTAAAAGAAGAGAGTTAATCATCAGGAAAGAAAGAAATAAAAAGCGATAGAATGAAGTGAGGCCCATTAAATGATTGACTGAAGTGAACAATAGAATTAAAGAAAGAAAGAAAGAAAGAAAGAAATAAAAGATATATGGTAAAAGAGAGAATAGTTACTCAGAGAGGAAGAACGAAAGAAAACCGAATGAAATAAAATCTGAAAGAAACACAAAAGAGAAACTAAAAGAACGGAAAGAAAGAGTAAATGGCTAAAAGAAAATACTTAAATGAGAATGAAAGAAAGAAAGAATGAAAGAAATAAGAGAAATGATGGAATGTCTGAAGAAATGTCGACAGAGGTAATTAATGAGAAAGAATGAAAAATCTTATTAGTTTTTCTTTTCAATTCTGGCGCTTTCTGATGGAAAATGGCAGGTGGAACTGCAGTTTTGTTTCTGTCTCTTTTATCTTCAATGGGAATGTTCATCGCTCGCTTCCAGTCACTTTTACCGCCTTTTCTTCAGAGGGAATCTCTTAAGAGCAACGACATTCTGACGCTTGACCAAATAATTGAACATCATTTAGAGAGTGAGCGAGGGAGAGAAAAAGCAAGAAAGAGAGAGAAAGAGACATTCATAAAGAGAAAATTGAAATGAGAAGAAAGCAACAAATAGGAAGACAAAAAGGAACAGATAAACAGCGTCAGATACAGAAAAACGGAAAGGACACTAGACCAAGAAACAGACAGAAAGTGTGTGTGTGTGTGTGTGTGTGTGTGTGGGTGTGTGTGTGTGTATAAGTGAGAGAGTGTGTGTGTGTGAGAGAGAGAGTGAGAGAGAGAAAGCGAGAGGGAAAGGAAGAAAGAACGAAAAAGAGAGAGAGAATCATTGCTTTGCATTCTAATTAAGCTATTCATAAATCAACGAGATTTGAGCGTTATTGTTGACTGCAATGGCAGCCTAATCGAGCGTTTTTTAATTGTTTTTACTTCCCAATGTGCGATTATTAACAATTCATTATTATTGGTTTTCTCATTACATCGCACGTAATTATCAACCTTAATCAAATCATTTATTTTTATTAGTAACACTTGCATTTTATTATTATTGTTATTGTTAGCTTTGATATCACTACAGATTTCTCTTGACAATTCATATAAGTTTTAACGAATTTTTGAAATTTATTTTTGTCTATCTTCATATTCATTGATGAAGACACAAAAATTGCAGCTTAGGAACTGGATATCTACCATTCAGACAGCATATTCTCTTTGAACTAAAGCGCATCCTTGATGTCTAGGGCTACAGCAAGTTGTCATTTTATTTAATCATCTCACTCCAAGAGAGAGGTTACTGAGCGTGAAAGAATATGAGAAAAACAGTATTATTAAGAAGAGAGCGAACAATAAAAGAACAAGAATTAAGAAGACAGAAGAGCTTACGGTTACATATAGTCATTTTAACTTTAAAATGACGATACTTAGTATTACGTTTAAATTCTTAAAGTTGCTCAGAACAATTACCATGAAAATATCTATAGAAAAGCAACATGGGAGCCATGTTATGGCGCAGGGAAAATGACTGAATCCGAAATGTCTAGATATTTTATGTAATTCATAATAACAAACACCTTGTAAGATATTTTCTATCAAATAAAGAAGAAGATTATATTCTGACCAGCTTCCTTTTGCATTTGTAGCAGGAGGTTAATAAATCCTATATAAACAGCAATTACTCTTTGCATAACCACAACTATCAATATTTTTTCATCGTTTCTACACAATTTATTCTAATGAATCATTCACACTGCACCAAGAATTACTCTGCTACTGTGACTAATTTAAATTTAATATTATCTATTAATAAATATTTCAGCTTTCTGTATATATATATATATATATATATATATATATATATATATATATATATATATATATATATATATATATATATATATATATATATATATATATATATATATATATATATATATATATATATAGATAGATATATAGATATATATAGATATATATAGATAGATATGTGTGTGCACCTGTGTGATAAATTTGGGTATGCAATCCCGAGAGAGTTATAAGTTATTGACATTTAGAACGTTTTTTTGTTTTTTTTTCAAATGATGAACTCGTCTGTTTTGACGTATGGTGATCCGATAACGTCACTCAGTTTTTATGTTAGTGTCGTATGTGACACTTCAGTTCTGTTAGTGACCTACACACAAGTCAACAGCGAGGTTATCAAGACATAGCAACAGAAGGCTACGCTTTTCGCCATTGTCCTTCGTCTCTTAGCCGATGAATACGACTGATTTCACAATTTTTGATACGACTCTGGTACAAGTAGCTCCAGTTAACTGTATCCAGTTGTATCATGCCATTATTTTCTGTTTATGTAGGGACTTCCGTTTTTTTTTTCGCGAAAATAGATAGCATGACAAGAACGGTCTGAAAATTAACGGAAAAATTTTTTCATGATAAAAGTATATTTTATTATTGAGAAGAAACACTAAAGTATTTTTTGAGTAATTTTTGAAATTTTTTACTCATTCTTAGCATGTCCGAAATTTTAGTTAAAAAAACTTGTTTACAGAAAAAACGATAAAAAGCTCTATATCAGCCATATTTTTTTAAATTTTAAAAATAAGTTAAATTTTTCGTTTAAAATTCGTTTAAAAATTAACTATACGTATTTCAATATTTATTCGAAGAAATTTAGAAAATTTGAAGTTTATTTAAAATATTTTGAAAGAAACTTTTACTTACTTTCTTCGTAGAAAAATGTTTTTAAAGATAAAAGAGCCGATCTTAACGTCGCCGTCGATTGACAGAGTGCTGAGTGATGACGTCTATAAATTATTGACAGCTGACGTGAGATTCGAGTTCCCATACGGAAGCACAGAATGGACATATTTTTTTAAGCGGACCTACTTAAGAAGTAACATGTAATATTTAAAGTAAAAAACTTTCGCCATTACAATTTTTTTTTGTTAAGTATTATGTACCATAAGTTTGTTGATACTATCTGGAGAAATTATAAATACTATTAAAAAAAATTAAAATACAAGTGCTTCACGGCTGTTTGAGGGCCCATATAGACCCCTCTAAAGTCAATTCAGATTTTCTATTATAAAAAAATTTCTATCCCCAGTAAAAATAATCAAACATAGTAAAAGTCATTTTGTCACAGCCTATATTCTCGGAAAAAATAAATAAATGGATTCTTATATTTTTAAGTAATATATATATATATATATAAAATGACTTATCTGGAAAAATACCAGGGAAAGTTTATCTGAATCCCATGAAACTAGGTATTTTCTGAAAGCAAACAATATGTTTCATTTAAAAGTAAAATTGGCCAGTGTAAATGACTGAAAAGTTTTTAGTTTTCTAGAGGCAAAATGTGAATCTTTCTTATTATAAAACCCAGGTTGTGTGTGTTACGTTTACATATTGGATCGAATTTCCTACATTTTTCAACCGATTTCAACCAAACATTACAGGACTACGATGAAAACTAGATGAAAGTACCTATTTTAACTTAATGAAAATGATGCACACGGGTTTCAGCAGGAACAGTTTGCTAAATTAAGGGGCCGTATACAGCGAAGAACAACCATTAAATACTAGACAGAAACTCAATCCACGTGACGTTATTTTTATTGCACGCACCAAACTTCCGGTCTTCCGTAGATTTCATTGGTAAACACATTATTGACAAATTAATTTTTTTTAATATACGAAGACTCATTAGTTTGTAATAAGCTTTGGAAATTATAATCTGTAAATATATATCTACTTAAAAACAACATCCGTTAAGCTGTACAAGCTTTTCCATAATTTTAGAAGAATTAACAACATAATGTAAAAATAAAAATAATGGTTGCAGAAATAAAAAATAATTGTAAGTAATTGTTTTAAAAATTCATTTTTCATCGAAATATCTTTTTGCTTTCAAACAATATTGTCCATGTTTATTGGAATAAATAAAAGCAATTAAAAGATTTGAAATTAAATAATATTTTTGTTTTATTGAATTTTGTATGTTACACTTCAGAGACGATTTTCAGGTAGAGGGGCTCCAACTAAAAAAAAACAAAAACAGGATTTTGTTTCCTCAAAGCACTGTGCTTTTAACTAATATAATCACTAAACTCCTCAAAATTGAAATTATAGAGCTTTCGTACAATTAGTTGGGGTTTACAATTAGTTTCATATTACATATGAAAAAAAAAAATTCTGCGATGACTTTACTAAAAAAAATATATATTTCTAATAAGTTCCATCATTTGTGAATAGTTTCTGAAAGTTTCATTAAAATCCGACAATTATTTTTATTTTTATTTTTGCAAGATTTTCCAAATTAATGTGTGTCAAACAGGAAAAAAACGCGCGAAAATATTTATATGTTATTTTATCAGCCAACCTGATAAAAAGAGAAACAAGGTTTTTTAATCAAAATTTACAATGTTCTAAAAAAGAAGGAAAAAATTTTAAAAATAAGTAAAAAATATTTTGATCTTTCCTTTCAATAATAACATAAGCATTTAGACGCTAAAATTTTGTTTTCATCAACTTTGGCGTCTTTTTCATCATGCTATGCTCTGTTTTTAGCGATCTCATAGAGTACCCTAGACATAATTACACCTGATATCTTCTGATAACCGCAGGGAATTCAGTGACAGAAAATCATCTTAAATCTTCTATATTTTTCTTTATCAAATCTTTTCATTATTTTTTATATTTAATGACCAGATTTCTGTGTGTTTGCATGTTTGTTACCTTAACAAATAAACAGGCTTATAGTAGATCATAAAGCAATTTTCATCCGAACCGGTGCAATGGTTCCCAACTATTTTCTGTTAACGTATAAACTGACAATAATATCTCTACAAAAGAAATAACTTCAGAGCGAGTAACTGATTAATTTCCTTGAAAAGAAGAATCCTTGGCTTGCATCAGATGTTGCGTATAATAAAGCAACAACAGCAGTTTGGTAATAATAAATAAGCTGATAAATAAAAATGATAAAATTGTACAAATAGAAAGCGATTGAATAATTATAATACATAACTCTACGTTGATAACAACTGGACTTTAATGTAATATTGGTCGTCTTACTGGATGCTGGAAATTCCTCTCACAGATGAAGAAGAGAATTGCGGTAACTGAAATATGGTTCTACAGAAGGATGCTGAGAATCATATGAACTTATGCAACGAGGAAATTGTAAGGAAATTGGAAACAAAAATGCACTTAAACTAAG